GGAGATGCTACAAAGGTCATAGTTGTAAAAAATGCTCATAAGTCACTTCCCCCCCCCACATCCCATTGTCATTTTGCACGTCACTAAATGAATCGTTGTTCAGTTGAGGACTACCTGTACTATATTCACGAAGGGAAACTAATGAATTACCCTATGTGAATCCCCATACCTGCCTAATATTTAAACCTAAAGATTGATCATTTCTAGATGGAAGGAGTGGCAATCCTTTGAATTCTGCCCAAGATCAGTAAGATCTTGTCACAATTTCAAGTCAAGCAGAATTCTTCCTCGCTGTGCCAGCTCCACCCTCATGTTTAGCAATTGTCTTTTTGGTGACAGAAAAAACATCCTTCAAACTTTTCATTTCCGTCTCCCCTCCCCCCCAAAAAAAGGGGGGGAGGGGGGAAGCACCCACTCCCCAAACCCCTGGAGTCGCATTTTTACTCCAGGATCCAACGCAGCCAAGTTGGAAGGAGGAGGTGGATCCTCAAACATACGACGACAGATTATGCAAATCCTGCAGGAATGGCTAATCCAATCAATTCCCCCCCACCTCGGGCGGGGTGTGAGCGGAATCTAGTGGATCTCTCCTGAATTGGCTTCTGTCGGAATGTGTGTGGCGCGTAGAAGAAGAAGAAGTCCACACTCGTCCGGAGAGTCAGCATGACATCACAGCGGCTCCTAGTCCTTGAAAACCTTGAGGGTGATTAGCTGAAGGAACGGGCGGCTTCTGCCCATCCTCCTCCTCCTCCAGGGCCGCCTCTATAATTCCTATGTAGACATAAGGCGGAGGGGAGAGAAGCATAGCTAGTGCAAGGCGAAAGAAAACAGCCGCAGCAGCAGCAGCTGTTAGACGGGTGATTAAGTAATTCTCCTAGCCTTTCCCCCCCCCTCTCGCTTCTTCTGGCTGTGCCGAGACTGCTCCCTGGTGTAATTCCGAGGTCCAAAAAAGAAAACGGCATTTTCTTTCTCTCTCTCTCTCCACGGCGTGCTGGTGAGAATGAATGAGCGAGAGGGAAGCAGGGAGGGAGGGCGGCCGGCTTGAATCATTCCAGGCTGACTTGTTTTGAAAAGAACAGGGCACATCAATAAAAATGTGACTGCGCTGGAGGAGGAAGGGATGGAGCAGAGAGGACCTTCCTGGGAGAATATTTAAGACGCGGTGGGCAAAAGGCTGCTCGCGAGAAAGCACGCGGAGTAAAGCGAAGGGAAAAGAAAAGAAAATTAAAAATAGGAAACTCTCCTACTCGAAGTCCAGAGAAGGCACCGCTTCCTCTTTAGACCGTTCCTTGAAAGGATCATCTCTCTGGGTAAGTTTATTTTGCAGTTTGCCCACAGGACGTGGCTTAAGACAAGTTGCCACACGCTCCTTGGGATGGATTTATTTGGACCCACCCTGCGTTCAACTCCAGGGGTAGCCCAAGTAAAGCGGAAGGCTTTTTTTGAAAGAAAATAAAAGAATGAACAAAAATTAAAATAATAATAATAATACTGGCATGTAGGAGGGGGTAGTGGTGGCTCTGACGCTCTGCATTTAATTCTCAGAGATGGAGTTTTCCCATCCAACTGATATAATAACAGTGATCATCATAAATATATTCATTTTCCCTATAGTGATCATGAATTAAATATGCCTTTTTTTTTCCTGTTGATTACTTGTCTGGGTTGACTCTGAGCTTCAAAATGCAGACTGACTTATATTCGCTGTAAACTGGAGAACAAAACAAGAGCCTGGGAGAAGCCTTGAGAAAATTGAATAAAGTTGTATTTTGTGCTGGTTGCCCTATCCCACGCTCAGCTGAATGGTCCATATTTCCACCCAGTTGTTGTTTTTTTATAAACAAGCAGGTTTTTAAAAAGTTATGTTTACCTGGAGCAATTGCTATTTAAATCTGTTTGTTTTAATAACTGAACTAGTAGGGAAGCCAAACAAGGATATTTACTGGGTTCCACAGGTTATGTAGTTAAATAATGACTGTATGGGATATTGAGAAAAATGGATGTTTCATGTTTGCAACTTAGCAAGTGTTTAGACTGTAGGAGAAAAATGTTCAAGATTTTAAGAAAAAGTATGTTTCTCTCATTATACAAGAAAGCAGATATTGTAGCAGGTCTGGTCTAGGTTCAAGTCGCTGCTGCCACGGTTAGAAATTAAATTAAGTAAATTTAATAAATAAATTTACTTAAATAAATAAAACAAGATTGGCAGCGATGTTCTTAGAATGTAATCTTGCTATCCAGAAGTCAATCTTGCTATATGAAGACCTCTTGAGAAATTTCTGTTATATTTCTTTGTTAGTCTCTCATTCTTCCAGAGAAACTACTGCACATGTATAAAATCAAAATAATGTAATATCTTTTAATCCCCCATTTCCTATTAGCACAGCAACCTAAGTTGCATGCTGCACGTTAGTCAGATGTTAAGTTTCAATGTTTCTCAAATAATGGGATTTATTTGTAACTGACAGGCTACAAGGATGGCTTAGAAGGGCTCCCACTCTCCACTATCTCTTTCTTAAACAATGAATTCTTGATCCAAGACTCTTGAGAGTTATTATTTCTCTTTGTTAAACTGTTTGGAATACAATCTCTGGCAGATTAATCTCCTACTCTGAAGAAATTCCACTGTGTTGGAAGAGGACTATAGTCCCAAGTTTTACCAAGTGAAAAATAGTCTTTTACTTTCCAATTCATATGAATGACTTTACGATTGTTATGAAGGAAGAGATTCTATGTAAATGCTGTTTCTAGTTGTATTCAACATTTCTGCCCAAAACTAATCTTGCAGCACACTGGGCCACCAGTTCTTAGCTTTAGAGCCACTCTTAGATACCCAACATAAGTTTATAGTCATTAGAAAGCTAAACATTCATATTTTAGCACCACCTGACACAGAATGAGTGCATCCCATAATGCTGCTGAATTGCTATCCCTATGTCATCTCTATGGCAGAATTACAGCCTGTGAATTAGTCTTAAATATAAATTATAGTGGCTGAGTCATGGACTACTAGTTTGCCATTAACTTCCATCTCTCTTTATCAAAATTATATCTTAACAAGTGTTCCTTAAAACAAACAACTGATAACATCAGCAGCCTCCAATAAGCACTTCCTAGATGCTGTCATATCTGCTGGATGGGTTTGATAAAGTGGTCCTCAGCTTCCTTAGTTCATGTTATGATGCAATATTTGGAATCTTAATAAGTTTTAAAAATGAATGCAAGAATCTTAACAATCTCCTGACATAGGCAAAAGTAAATATAATTCTTGTTGCATGATTTACCTGCAGGAGACATCCTCAGTAACCGTTGCAGTGGCAAAATGTCTACTACAACATGTGTTGACCGATTTACAAGTCCCATAACTTTCCACTAAGAGTCTCTTGGGAAGTTGTGTACAATAAATATCATAGTAGAAAGATGTCCAGATTAATATTCTACTCAGTAGTTGGATTTGTTTCATAAGGTTAGTGTTTGTATTGTTTCATAGGGAATGTATAGTTTTGGATATATGCAGGTTAAATTATTCTTAAGGCAGATGTTTTAAGCACATTTGCCTGTAACGACGTTGATATTTATTTATTTGTTTATCTGTTTGTTTGCTTGTTTATATATTTATTTTGTATGCCACCCATCAATTTGATACGATTTCCTTCAAATAACGTGATGTAAGTCGGATTATGTATTACTTAAGATTTTAACATGGAACCATTAAGCATTGGGCTATCCACAGTGCAGACTTTTTAAAGAAAACATCCAATATTATTAAATGAAATGAGTTTATTTTCCCTCCTGGGAAATTCCTCCTAGTGTTTGAAAAGTTCCAAATAAAATAAGAATGTGTACACGACAAATATTTGTATCTCCGTAGAAAATTAACAGCAAATTATTTATTTTAGGTATTTGTCCTTCCTGTTTGCAAGACATCTGAGTATTATTTTTATTTGAGCAAGGGTACTCCTATTGTGTGTAAGAAGTATTTGACCCCCAAATATCTCATTGGATGCAATTATTAAGTTCAGCCTTGGTGGGCTGAATTGCTATTTTCAAATTTTAACCTAAATTTTAAACAGCGTACTGAAAATTTAGAGACTATGAAGAAAGGTGAATCTTCATTAGTATAATATATTTTGAATTATATACTAAAAATAAATCACTGCATGTAAATCAGGATTTGGCTGAATATTCTCTCTCTTTCTTCCTCTCCCTCCCTCCCCCTCTCTCCCTCTCCCCCTCCCAAGCTACTATGGCTTGCTCTAGAACTATTGTTAAAATAACAATATCTTGTTCAACTGCAGTCATTTTCTTAATAGAATGAATCTCTCTGTAGGAAAATACACATGAATTGTAATATGTAAAGTTTGGCCTGAGGGTCTTTTTTCTGGCATTGCAAATGCTAAGATTAGATAGTTTATACAGCTGGATTTCATTTAGCTTATCAATTTGTAGATATCATTATCTTTTCTTCCAATTGGAAAATTTAGTTACATGGTATGGCAATTGCTAGTAAAGTGTAATTGTGTGTTTATATATAATATAAACCAATGTTCCATTTGGATTTTTGAAATACAACAGACAGTTAAACTTTTATATCGCGCAGAAAAACAGAGGCAGTCATTTCCTATTTCTAAATTCGATAGAGCCTCAACTAGCAAAATCAAATACTTAATGGTTGGCTGAGAGCCAGACCAGACGGATATTGCTGCTGGAAAGAATGATATCTGGGCTGAATTTCATTAAAACATCATGTAAAAGCATGCTATTGTACCTGAGCTTAGTCTTGGAAGAGTTTATATTTCATATTGGCAAATCCGCCATTTCTGTTAATGAGAAGGTAGCATGGTTTTATTCAGTAGGAAAGGATGAAAATATTCTACTTTCACATACAAAAGACACGCAAAACAGTATATGCCCATGAAAAAGAAAGGAATAGCAAATTCCCTTCGTATCATTGTATACAAAAGTTTAATTTAACCCATAAAAAGAGACAGTGAAAAATATGTGATGCCTACTAAAACAAAACAGGAGGAAAGTTTTAACAACTATTTATACACACCTTGCTTTTACCTTGCCTTACATTCAAAAATATTAAGTCTTCAGGTAGGTTATTTTATTTCATAGGTTTCAGGATAACATGCTTAGATGAGGACAGGTCCACATAGTTCGCTCTTAATTCAGTAGTTATATTTTGTATAGTTGTAAATACGGACAATATATGTGAAATCTTGAGTTTTCTGCAATACACGGTTGAGTTGGGTAGGACACACACTTTTCTCTTCTTCAGCTTTCCTCAGATATTCCCAAGAATAAAGGCTACAGGTAGTGAAATAGGGAAAAAGTCATCACCAAAACTTTTTGTCCTTTTTTTTTTGCCTCCCAGAACTGTATGAAATTATTTCTCTTGTATAGAAAATTTGAAGGGAATTGGTTGGTAATACCACTATGGTAAGGATTAAGCTATTTTTATCCATAATAAATAAGTTCTGTTTTTCTGAACATAATGAAGTGGAATTGACTAGGTTAAGTAGAAGTACCTTCGAAAGCAAAGATTCATAACACATTAGGCTCATATCAGTGGTGGGATTCAGTCAGTTCGCACCTATTCAGGAGAACCAGTTCTTAACTTTCTAAGAGGTTCAGAGAACCGGTTGTTGGAAGAAATCTTATTTTGGTTTTTTTTCCGGTTTACAGGGCTAATCCGTTAAGGAAGTCAGGAAGGAAACATTCTGGTGTTGTTTCTAGCCTAATCTTTATTGCCCTGCCTACAGAAACTGCTTCTCCGGTTAACCCTTATTACATTGTAACAGCTAAGGCAAAGCGCCCATCGACCTGAGTAATGTTGAGTTGGCCACGCCCACATGGTCACATGATCACTAAGCCCCGCCTACCCACCTGGTCATTAGGACAGAGAACCAGTTGCTAAATTATTTGAATCCCACCACTGGCTCATATGCAACAAAGAACCATATAACCTGCACTAACTCAACTACCCACAAATAAGTTATTTATATTTTTGCTGAAGAATTTGGACTGTTTCCACATATTCATTTCCAATAGTCTGGGAGCTGCTTTTTTAAGTGGTGATGCATTAATAACTTGCCTGAAAGTACCGTTCCTAAAGAGTGAGAAAGACCTATTCAATTATTGTATTTATGGAAAGCCTCTGCACAAGTGAATCCTTCGAATATAAGGAAACAAGATAGGAACTGTTGTACTGAATTTGCTTAGCAAATCCCTAATTCCAATCTACCGATCAATATTACTTTGTGCATAACTATAATTTAATTTGTGTGCATAAAATGCTGTATAT